CCCACGCACATGTGCACACATCCCTGTGGGGCCACACAGACTCACATCAGCACCACAGGCAGTCATCTCAAAGACACACACACACACACACACACACACCCCCCACAAGCACATACCGCCTTCCTGGCTTCCCCATGGACTCTCTGGAAGAAAATGTAGCAAGTCTGAACGTGGATGCGGTTGGGGGAATAGCTTCTCAGGGTGCTCAGAGGAGAGGCCAGCCTGGGGTGTGACCCCTCCACCCAGCTCACTCACGCCTCCCCTCTTGTCTCCTCCTCCAGACACAGCAAGGCCGGAGGGTGCTAGAGGTGCGGACCCCTGTGCTGGAGCAGCTGCCAGTGCTGGATGCCTCCTTCTCGGACCTGGGGGCCCCCCCGAGGCGGGGAGGGGTGCTGCTGGGGCCTGTCTGCTTCATGGGCTAGGACCTTCTCGACCTGAACCTGTCATTCGAAACCAGGCCCACCTGGCATCCCACAGCATCAGCTCCATGCCATCTCCCAAGAGGGCTCCTCACCATCTGGGGGCCTTGGGCCAGGGCGCTGAGAGCCCCCAGTCGGGCAGACCAGAGGAAGGCTGAAGTGCGTGCCGGACCGCCCGAGGGGAGGGGTAGCATCTNCAGTCGGGCAGACCAGAGGAAGGCTGAAGTGCGTGCCAGACCGCCCTAGGGGAGGGGTAGCATCCGGGGCTCCTAGCCTTCCCACCTGGAGCCTGTGGCCTGTTAGACAGCTGACACACTTATTTAAAACTCACCGCCCAATCACCCCAAACAAGAGGAAGAGAAGAGAAAGGACACTGTGTATTTTGTATTTAAAAGTAATTATATTAATTATTTAAAGAGTGGAAAACTAAATAACAACAAAGATAAAGAGAGAAATGCCAACAAAAATCAGCGGACTTTGGAGACAGGGCTCTCCAGGGATGAGTCCCCGGTACCCTTGTCCTTGCCTCAGGGCTTTCCTCAGTGACTGTGGGGGTTTTTGGGTTGAACCCCAGTTCCCTCACACCCCACCTGTAGCACCCACTGTGAACATTGGAATATACGGTCTCCTTTGCCTCAGGGCTCTCTCTCATCTCCACTTACTGATGTCTGGCTCCCTGACCCACACACCTGCTCTCCTTCACTTGGTCTGGGCCTTGCAGAAACCACCTGCTTTTTGGGGACCAGGCCACTGTCCTGGGGGGAAACAGGATAGTGAGGGATGTGTGCAGGGCCTGAATTCAGTGGACTGTTGAAATATCGAAATCTATATTAGCTGGGAAGTCACCAAGCCCTGAGCCCCCTGAGTATCCCATTGCCATCCTGGTCACCCCAGACTCTCCCCGGGCACCCCTCCCCTTCTCTGACCCTGCAATTGAAGGGATGGAAGGGACTCCTGGGACCTTGTCCAGCCCTATAACCAGCATCAGTCTGACTGGTGGTTAAAAAATGTGATTGTTTCCTCCTAGGGTGTATGTGTGTGATGCTTGTGTGGTTACTTCAATCCCCACCAAACCCCTATCCAACGCCCTTCTTCCCAGTGAGCTGTAGCCAGAAAAGGGTGGCTTAACCCCTGTTCCCTGCAGGGCCTGTCCAGCTGGGGTGTCACAAAGACTGGCTGACATACAGAATCACAAGTGGACCCTGGTTCTGTCTGACACTGGTGCTGGACTGGTGCTGGGGAAGGTGTGTCCCCGCCCCCCCATCTTTAGGGGCTCCAGGCCTGGAAGGACCCTTAGATGGCCTACCGCAAACTCTGCAAATGAGAGGACAGGCTCACTTGCATAACAGCGCT